GGGTCACGACTTCGGGACGATCTGGCCCGGTTATCAATGTTCGGTGCGCTTGCTCGGGACACGGAAAGCGGACGTGCTTGCTTGAGGAGCCACGTCCACGCCTATGCAGCTGCGGATCCCCTCCCTCCGTGGCGACTGGCCCGCCGTGCAGCCCGACAGCGGAGTCCTGTAGGGCCTCGGCCCTCGCCGAGGAGGGGCCGCGGCCTCTCTGACCCTCCCCATCCGCCTCCTCCTCCTCCTCCTCCGCCTCCTCCGCCTCCTCCTCCTCCTCCTCCTCCTCCTCCTCCTCCTCCTCCTCCTCCTCCTTACGCGGGCATTTGCGCACGGGCGCGAGGCCCGTACCGTCCGGCAGCGGAGGTCCTCCCCCCTCTCGGGGCGATGCCCCCGCGGCCCCCCCTGAAGAGTCACCCCTCCCAAGACATGTCCCCTCCAACTGCTGAGGCAGGGTCACACAACATCAGCAAGACAGCAAGACTTGCAACACTCACTTTGAGACTCCTCGCACCGATCTGCCCGCGTGCCATTCCACACGTATGTCCGAAACCCTCGGTGCCCACCCTCTTCGCCTTCTATCGCATCCCCTTGGGTGTATATCACACTTACCCGCCACGCGTATCTAGTGCATCCTCTAAAACGGGGGAAGAGAGGACGGATGGAAGGGGAAGGAAGCAGGATGGAGCACGAGATAGACTAGCAGGAGGAGAGCTAGGAAGAGAAAACGCGTGGCAGAATCAGACGAACAGATCGGGCGGGTAGACCCTAACGGGCGGGTCGGGAAGGCGGGCCCAGGCGGCCAGGTCGACAGGCGGGTTGCTCAAGCGTGAGTCCTGCATGAATCGCGTGGACGTCTCGAGCGAGAGCGCGATTCCCAAGTGAAACGCGAGAAAGGCCCAAGCGAGAGCGTGATTCCTGGGTGTGAGGGCGCGGCGTCTGAATCAATGGCAAGGAAATCCCACGCGAGAACGAGATTCCTGTATACATTGTGAGGGCGTCCCGTGCGAGAACGCTTGCGAGGGGGGCTAGAAACAGAACGCGGGCGGCTCGGGCGGGCGGACCCGAGCGGGCGGGCCGGGCGGGGGGGGGCCCGGGCGGCGGGGTCGAGCGGGCGGGTCGCGGAAGCGTCGGCCCTGCCTCGCGAGGTCTCGGGCTGTGCGCAGCGAGATGCCCAAGGCAATCGTGACGAAGTCCAGAGCGAGAGCGTGATTCCTGAAAGTCGAGGGCGCGGCGTCGGAATGAATTGCGCGGGAGTCCCATGCGAGAGCGCGATGCCTCCAGAAATTGTGAGGACGCCCCGCGCGAGAGCGCAACGTTGGAATAACTTGTGTGAAAGTATCAGGCAGGAGCCGCTGTTGTTGTAAATCGGGGGCCAACAACACAATCTGAGCCCCCAAACTTCCCCTTGCGAAAAACAAGGTGCAATTCCTGGAAGGGGCACTTCAATTGAAAAAAAACATCAGGTGCGTGAGGTGGAACAACCAAATATATTATTAAACTTGGGAATGCAATAACGAAAACAGTCATTATAAGACTGTTCGCTCTTATCTGCTCGCGTGCCATCCAACACGTATATGCCAAGCTTTCGATGCCCACTCTCTTCGTCTTCGATCGTACCCCCTGTGGGGGTCTATCTTCCCAACCTGCCACGCGGAATTGGCGCAGCCCCTAAAACATGGGAGGAGAAGGAGCATGCAAGGAAGGGACAATAGGGGGAGGGAGAAGGATGGAGCACAACAGATATTGGCGAAGGGGGGGGTAGGAGCAGAACAGAAGTGGCAGAACCGGACGGGCAGCTCGGGCGGGTGGACCCTAACGGGCTGGCTGGGCGGGCGGGCGGGCACAGGCAGCGGGGTCGAGCGGCTGGGTCGCTGAAGCGTCAGTCTTGCACAAATCGCGAGGAAGTATCGAGCGACAGCGCGACTCCTCAAAGACTGTCAGGCAGTTCAAGGCGAGAGCGTGATTCCAGAGCGTCGAGGGCGCGGCGTATAAATAAATTGAAAAGAAGTCCCACGCGAGAGCGCGTTTCCTCCAGAAATCGTGAGGGTGTCCCGCGCGAGAGCGCGAGCTTAAATACGCTGAAAAGAAGCATCAAGCGGGAGCCGGTGCTGTTGTAAACCGAGGGCCAGGCACCCAGTCAGATGCGCAGGACCTTTCCCTTTGAAAAACAGAAGGTGCGAGCCCTGAGAGGGCTACCTCAATTGGCAATGCACAAGGTGCACCTGAGGGGGGATCATCGATGGGGAACCAACAATGTGTTCATTGAAATTGAGAGTTTAACTGCACAATGGAACACGAGTAATTGAGCACCGTCGTTGACGCCTTGACATCCCACATTCCGTGAACCCCCAAAAACCTCGCCCGATTCACACGCAGAATCCGATGGTCAAGATAGAGCAGCCAAACGCAGCTCACGTCAATAATGAACGCAACAACTGCAACTTGCGCTGAAAAAACAATGAGTAACTGATCACTGTCACTGGCGCCTTTACACCACACCCTTCGTGAACCTCCCCAAACCTTTCCCGCCTTACACGCGGAATCCTGAGCTCCAGCTGAAGCAGCCAAACGCAGCGCACAAACAAATGCAAGGCAAAACATCTGCAACTCAATGCAAACAACATCCAAACACACGGAATCGTAATCTCAAACTGAAGCTGCCAAACCAACGTTAAGCTGGCGGCGCTGCCTTTGTTCTTCAAAAGCTTGAGCTTCATCTACAGGCACTTTGGTTGCGTGGCGTCCCGCCGTCCGCTACACAGCTAAGAACTTTCTCTTCGTGACTCCCGACCTCCACTGTCCCACCAATCATGCCCACAATCATCGCTGCCCTCTTCCCTTCCCACGTGTCGCTGCCAATACGCTACCCAGTGCGCTCGGTTTTGGCTTGGAAGAAATGCGTCCCGAGGGAAACGGGTCCTGGAAACCTGGGGCTCTGCCCCCCAGATCCTCCTGCTCCTGCTCCTGCTCCTCCTCGTCCTTCTCCTCGTCCTCCTCCTCGTCCTTCTCCTCCCTCCTCCCCAGGACCAGCTTTTCCCAGGTGACGACCCTGGGCCCAGGGACCCAGGAGGCTGAGGATGGCGAACAGAAACTCAGGACCCCCTTCCCGCAGGACCCCTCCCCCTGTCCAGAGGAATGAAAAACTGCATAAACATATACAGTAGAGGCCCGACCACAAGAAACCTTCCACAAGAAACCCAACCCTGAGAGCCCAGGACGTCCGTTGATGTTTGGTGTTGGAAAGTCACGCCTCCCATGGCAAAACAATGGAAACCCAAGAAACCCAGGGCACCATGGAGGCAAGCAGGGTGCTTCTTGGCATGGGCCCCCACTGTACTGTCGAAGGTCCGCCCGGATGTTTTGAATCTGCGCTGACCCCCACACCCCGCCACCGCCGGGGGGTCCAGCGCAGATCCAAGAAATCCGCGAGGAGCACCAACAATGTATCGACATATTTGTTTCATCGTCGACCTTCATGGCGAGGGTAGCATGCCGATCAAAAAAGACTGGGGTGGTAAGACTTCGGGCTGCGCACAAACAGGACACCCAAAGATGGGGAAATCAAAAACAACCGATACCGCGAATCCCCGGACCTCTGCCGGGGTGCGTCCTGACCAGAATCTCGAGGCGAATCAAGCGGTGGCGACGAGGGCCTCCCAGGAGGCCCAAAAAGGGGAATGGTCGGGGGCGCGCAAACATGGATTAGCGATCCATGGATTCGGCGCGCGGTCGCCAAATCCATGGATCGGGAGAGGTACCCTCCCCAAAATGCGGCCGGTGCCGCCTCGTTCGGTGGCGGAGATCCGCCATTTCCCATGGAAGCGGGACCCGTCGCTAATCCACGCCCCCTTGCCTTGATCCATGTTTGCGATCGCCTGATATGGGTACACGTCGTTCATTTCTAATCGTGTTCATTTCTAAGTGTGCTCGTTTCTAATTATTCCTGGCCCCCAAGTGGCCAGGAAGAGGCCCAGGGTAGAACAGTTAGAAATGAAAGGATCTTGGCCCCCCTAAAAATCAAATAACTTCGAAGAATTAGAGATGAGCCAAAAGCAGGTTCCTAGGGGGCCACATGCGAACCCTGTCCCTACACCCCCACGATTTCCGAGGGTGGGGTTCCCTTCGTTCGGGAGCTCCCGAGCGAAGGGAACCCCACCCTCCCCCTCAGAAATCGTGGAGGGAACGGTTTTTTGCGGGCAGATCTGCCTTCAAAAAACCGTTCTTACAGAGTAGACCATTTTTTGAAGGCAGATCTGCCTTCAAAAAACCGTTCTTACAGAGCAGGGGCAGGGTTCGCATGTGGCCCCCTGGTCCCGGGGCCCGACGAGGGCCCCCAGAGGCAGCGAGCGGCCCAAGACCTCCCGCGTCGCGGTCTCTCGTGCAGGAAATGCCCCCCGAGGAGGCCTGGCGCCGCAACCTGAGACCCAGTTCCCATCGGATCCACGTCGGATTTGCGCAAGGTTCACGACGGGTTACGTGGAGATTGCGATCGGTTCATGTCGGGTCACGTTCAGGTCGGGCCTGTCCCCCTACAGGGGACACTGGACGAAAAATCATGAATAGTCAAACATGCTCTGGAAATGCTCGAAACAAAATCCGAAATCGTCCCCAGACTATGTTTAAAACTACTTTTGAACATTCCCCCTGTAGAGGGACATGCCCGACTTAAGATTACGTCGGACTTACGTCGGAGCATCGCCGCGCCAACACAGACCCGTATATCACGGACCGGACGCGTGGATCCGATGACACACCTGTTGCGCGCCGCGCGCGTCCTCCAGGAATTTTGCATCATACGGTGTGGGCATTGAATAGGGAACCCTTAGATAAGGAGTCCAGGGTCTGGAAGCCAGTGGAACTCCAATCGTGGATCGGCCATGGATACTACCGCCGCCCTCATCAGAGAAGGAATCCTCCAGGGTCTCAAGCCTCCTGGGCACATTCCTTAACCAACGCCCCCACCGTAGGGTCACTGACGACGCAATCATGTCTGGGACTCGGGTGGCCTCCACGAAGCTGGGCTCTGGCTCTGGCTCCGCCTCCTGCGTCTGCACAGGCCGCGCCCGCCGGCACCTGCTGGGCGCTGCCTAGCTGGGGGGGCGATCCATGGGGGGGGGCGAAGGAACGTGCACCTCTTGTGCTTCTTTTGGGCCCCAGAAGGCCCCTACTGCAGAACAGCCCAAGATCGAATCGATAAGCCGGATCGGCGATCGACGTGAATCGGATCGGCGGACATCGGCAGCCGAGTCGAGAAAATCGAATCGGCGGACATCGGCAGGCTTGTATGCGTCCAATGAGAAATCGGAACACAAATCGGAAGCCGAAGCCGAAGCCGAATCGGAATCGGAAGCCTTCGATATCGAGCCGAATCGAACCGGAGGAGCCGAACTCAGCCCTGCTACAGAAACGCAAGGGGCACCTTTCTTCCCCCCCCGCATCACCATTGATCGCCCCCCCCGCTACGCAACGCCCGAACCTGCAGGGCCCCGACTGTGCCGGCGCCCGCCGGCACCTGCAGGGCGTCGACTGCGCCGACGGTGGGCTCCGCTTGGCCTGGCGCGCGGCTCTGGTAGCCCGCCCGTCTTGTGCAGTGCGCAGCGGGGGCGGGAAACTTGGTTGCAGGATGATCGACCCCGGTACAATAAACCAGAAAGTCAGGGCCATGTTGTGCATTCCGTGTCAGTTCTTGGACAGAGAATCACCAACATTGCCACTTCTGTTTTCGCGAAGGACTGTCCAAGGCACCTGTCCTTGACAAAAGCCAAGCCCCTTTTTATGCCCGCAAGGACCACAGCCAGGGGGTGACAAAACAGGCCTGGTTTACGTATCGGGGTTGGATGTAGTGCAACGAAAACTGGGGTGCAGTTAGCACGGGGCCCAAAAACGTACACCATCACCTCTCTCACCCCCTCCGTCCCAGAAGAGAAGAGGGGAAGAGGAAGGTGGATGAGGGAGGGGGAATGGAGGAGGTGGTGGTGGTGGTGGTGAATATGCTCGGGAGCCGTATTGACGAGGAAACTCATGGGAGATCCTCGTAAGAACGATCCTACGGGCGACTATGAGCCCAAGGAGACAGCCACTGTGCCAGACTCGACCTAGGATACCAAGCCCGATTCGGCCGGATTGAACGGGAACGAGACGGCTGAAACGGGACCGCGTTGGATGAGACCGTTCTCGACCATGGATATACCAGCGCCGAGCCAGACTCGGCCTAGGATACCAAGCCCGATTCGGCCGGATTGAACGGGCGGAGACGGCTGCAACGGGACCGCGGTGGATGAGACCTTTCTCGACCACGGATATACCAGCGCCGCGCCAAACTCGGCCTAGGATACCAAGCCCGATTCGGCCGGATTGAGAGGGAACGAGACGGCTGCAACGGGACTGCGCGTTGGATGAGACCTTTCTCGACCTCCTCCTCCTCCTCCTCCTCCTCCTCCTCCTCCTCCCCCTCCTCCTCCCCCTCCCCCTCCCCCTCCCCCTCCCCCTTCCCCTCCCCATTCCCCTCCCCCTCCCCCTCCCCCTCCCCCCCCATCCCCCATCCCCCTCCCCCCTCCCCCCTCCTCCCTCCCCCTCCCCTCCTCCTCCTCCTCCTCCTCCTCCGCCTCCTCCTCCTCCTCCTCCTCCTCCTCCTCCTCCTCTCCACCTCCGCCTCGTCCTCCTCCACCTCCTCCTCCTCCTCCACCTCCTCCTCCACCTCCTCCTCCTCCTCCCTCCTCCCTCCTCCCTCCTCCTCCCTCCCCTCCTCCCTCCTCACTCCTCCGCCCTCCGCCCTCCTCCGCCCTCCTCCTCTCCCTCCTCCCTCCGCCCTCCTCCGCCCTCCTCCGCCCTCCTCCTCCTCCGGCCTCCTCCGGCCTCCTCCGCCCTCCTCCGCCCTCCTCCGCCCTCCTCCGCCCTCCTCCGCTCTCCTCCGCCCTCACCGCCCTCCTCCGCCCTCCTCCGCCCTCCTCCTCTCCTCCGCCCTCATCCCCCTCTTCCGCCCTCCTCCACCCTCCTCCGCCCTCCTCCGCCTCTCCGCCCTCGTCCGCCCTCGTCCGCCCTCCTCCGCCTCCTCCTCCTCCTCCTCCTCCTCCTCCTGCTCCTCCTCCTCCTCCTCCTCCTCCTCCTCCTCCTCCTCCTCCTCCTCCTCCTCCTCCTGCTCCCCCTCCTCCTGCTCCTCCTCCTCCTCCTCCTCTCCTCCTCCTCCTGCTCCTCTTCCTCCCCCTCCTCCACCTCCTCCTCCACCTCCTCCTCCTCCACCTCCTCCTCCTCCTACCCCAAATGGTTCTTATGTCAGAATCTTGACCGTGCGGAAACCGGATGTCTTCGAACGACTTGCGCGTCGGCCTCTGGCCCCACGCGCATCGTCCAACCTGGAACAATCGCGCCTTTCCGATAGCTGCAACGCCGGCCGCTTCCGGGCCCCGGCGTCCCTCACCCTTGAGCGCCCCCCGCGCCATGATCACCCCTGCGTCGACACGACACGAACCTGCCGTACGAGGTATCATCTGTTCACTGTGGCCAGCGCGGAAGGAGGGCCACCGCGTCGGCCGCAACTTCAGAAGACCTGTGCACGTTGGCCAAATGGCTCTTATCTCCGGAACCCCTGCCACACACACACACACATGAGATCCAAAGCTCTATTCCCCGCGTTTCGACCTTTGGCGAAAAGGGAGGCGGGGGGTCTGGCTCTGGAATGGTGCGCAATGGAACGGACTGGCTCAGTGTTGAAATCCCCGCCCGGCCACGTCACTTTTCGCGCCAGCGCCATCTAAGAATGTCTGGGGAGAGCGAAGCAGGGCTAGGATTAGCATGTGGGCAGAGGGGTGCCAGGGACACCTGGGCACAGCGTTGAGGCTCGCTGAGACTGGCCACGAGGAGCGGACGCGGTGCCGGTGCGCGCCACAGGTGTGCCCGCCCGAGGGACCTCTGGAGTACACCACAACGCCTGCGTACACCGCATCGCCTGGCAACACAATCCTCCTCCTCCTCCTCCTCCTCCTCCTCCTCCTCCTCCTCCTCCTCCTTCTCCTCTTCAGGGCAACACAGTGCTTGCGTGCACCAGTACGACAGTGTGAACAACAATGCCTGCGTGCACCACAGCGCCTCTGTACACCGCAATGCCTGGATCAGGCGTCCAGGCCTCACTGAGGCCTGGCCGCCTGATCGTCAACATGCCCAGGACGCGCTTAATGTATGCCTCCCGTGGAACTCATGTACCTGACACCTTGGCTGAGAAGGCCAAGGCGGATGAGGCGATGCCTGACCGTACCCAATCATAACACACAGCATTCCTGAGATGATGGTAAACACTCAAGAGTTGAGCAACTCTTGTAGTCAATGCGACCCACCCACCGACTATAATCAAAAGAGTACTGGCTACTTAATACGGCTGGGAACAAACGCGACACTGATATATGACAGACAAGACCACGAGGACGAGGACAGGGAGGAAATGAAGGAGGAAGAGGGAAGGGAAATTCTTCCCTGCATTGACACCGCAGTCCCACATGGGCTGGTCGGCTGTCGGACGAACCGCTTCCAGAGAGGCAGGCAAAGGCTGACCCGCACCCCGCCTCATGTACCTCGCTTTTCACGCGCAGCATGCGCTCCGCCCCGAGGACGAGCCTGTTGAGGGTCTCGTAGTTCTTCTCCTGGAGCATTGCTGCATTTTCCCGTTCCGAAAGGGGGCGGCACGGAACATGTGTCACATATCAATGTGACGCAAGAAACGCCAAGGAGAAGCGCGTGACAGATGCAGGGGAATCCCTAAGTAGGGGGATGGAGGCTGAGAGCCAGTGTCCTGATGTTCTGAAAAGCTATTGCGTGAGGAAACATGATAATGTTCGCCGGACCGACGAGCCAATGACATCTTAGCCCACAAAGCTACTGACCCTAACGATGAATATGCAATCGAGGACCAGGGGGTCCCTGGGGACTCCCCGCCCAAAAATCCTACGCCCAGGCACGCGGAGTGTGTCTTCAGCCCCATTGCTGGGGGTCTATGGAGCTTCAAGATAACTGCTTGCAGGTACAGTCGGACTTGATTGGAGAGGACACGCGAGATGACACAATACCCTTCCGAGGGCCACATTGCCATGGGAATGTAGGAAGCATGGGTCGAGAGACACAGGACACGAGGGTACCCGTGATTTGGCAGGGTCGACCTACTAATCAGGGCCGACTGTAAGACGGCATTCCGAGGCCCAGGTCAGATGGCAGTCCAGGAGGACTCCGAACTGGCCCGCGCGGCCCAAGGCAGCCCAGCGCTGCACCCCGAAGGCCGCTCGACGGTCCCCGACTTGTCCAAGGGCTCCCAGAATTAGGTCGGGCCTGTCCCCCTACAGGCCGATGTTGGACGAAACTAAAACACAGTCAAACAAATACTCCGAAATGCTTAAAAATACTCCGTTGGAATATTCCTCCTGTAGAGGGACAGGCCCGACTTAACCCCAGAAGCTTCTCGGAGGGCCCCCAGGCAGCCCCAAACCTCCCAAAGACAACCCCAAGTCACCTAAGACAACCTCAGGACGGCTCAAGACTAGCCCAGAAAGGGCAGCCAGAACCGCCCAATCCCGCAGGAGGCCTCAAGACAGCGCTAAGACCAGGCCAGACTGCCTCAAGACCCACAAGCCTGCCAGAAGCCTCCTAACTGGTCCCGATCAGAATCCAACAGGCTTTCAGAAGGCCCACCACCAGGTCCCTGGAAGGCCAGCTCGATAAATAACACCATGACTTGGGCTGACAACAGAAACTGTGATCTTTAGGCTGGAAATGATACATCTACACTACCATGCTCGAGGGGAGGCCTAAGATGGCACCCAAAAAAAAACACCACCGGCGAGAGCGTACACTGCCTTCCACCGTCTATTGCATTTGTAGATATAGGGTCGCTGTGTTTCACCACCATCCCAGCGCAACGATAACTCAAAATCTCACGATTTCCGTAGCGTCCGCTGCGGATCAATTACCGCATGACGCCACCTGGCACTGAAGCTATCGAAAGCCATGACAAGAAGCCGAGTGAAGGCGATGAGTTGCTACGCTCAACAGATTTCGAGCAAGCGTCGGTCGTAGCCAAGATGGCCCAAGATGGCCTCCAAGTTCGCCAAAGATGGTCCAAGATGGCCTCGAAGACGGCCCAAGAAAGCCCAGGATGCCTTCAAGTTCGTACAAGAAACACCTAAGACGGCCCAAGACGGCCCAGAGGCCTCCAAGAGCCCTCCAAGAGGTCTCCAAGACGACCCAAGAAGCCTCGAAGAGGTCCTCCAGGGTCCTCAAGGACGGCCCGAAGAGGTCAAAATCATTGATTGTCCCTAGATTTTTGAAAGATTTTGGCTTTCGCTCCTTGTCGGGCTTCGACGGCCCAAGATTGCCCAAGAGGCCATCAAGATCGCCCCAAGAGTGCCCAAAAAGCCTCCAAGACGGCCCCAGGACGACCCAAGAGGCCCCCAAGACGGCCCCAAGAAGGCCCCAAGACGGCCCAAGAGGCCCCCAAGAAGCCCCAGATGGCCTCCAAGACTGCCACGATGGCCTCCAAGATGCCTCCAAGACTGCCAAGATGGCCTCCAAGACGGCCTCCAAGACGGCCCAGATGGCTCCAAGATGCACCCAAGACGGCCCAAGATAGCCTCAAGATGGCCTACGACTGCCCCAACGGCCCGCAAGAGGCATCAAGATGGCCCAAGAGCCCTCCAAGACGTCCTCGCGAAGGCCCGACAGGGTTCAAGTTATTGATTTACCGTAGGTGTTTGAAGAATTTCGGCTATTGCTCCTTTTCAGCTCTCCGACGGCCCAAGACGGCCCAAGCGACCCCCAACATCGACCCAAGAGCGCCCAAGAGGCCTCCAAGACGGCCCCATGACAGCCCAAGAGGCCCCCAAGACGGCCCCAAGAAGGCCCCAAGACGGTCCAAGAGGCCCCCGAAAAGCCCAAGATGGCCTCCAAGACTGCCAAAATGCCAAGATGGCCTCCAAGATGCCTCCAAGACGCCCAAGATGACCGTACATACGGGTAAGATGGCCCAACGAAGCACCCAAGACGGCCCCAGATGGCCTGAAGCTGGCCTACGACTGGCCCAAAGGCCCGCAAAAGGCCTCCAAGAGCCCTCCAAGACGTCCTCCAGGAAGGCCCGACAGGGCCCAAATCATGGATGTTCCTATAGTTGTTGAAGGAGTTCGGCTGTTGCTCCTTTTCAGCTCTCCGACGGCCCAAGACGGCCCAAGCGACCCCCAACATCGACCCAAGAGTGCCCAAAAAGCCTCCAAGACGGCCCCAGGACGGCCCAAGAGGCCCCCAAGGCGGCCCTAAGAAGGCCCCACGACGGCCCAAGAGGCCCCCAAGAAGCCCCAGATGGCCTCCAAGACTGCCACGATGGCCTCCAAGATGCCTCCAAGACTGCCAAGATGCCCTCCAAGACGGCCCAAGATAGCCTCAAGATGGCCTACGACTTCCCCAACGGCCCGCAAGAGGCATCAAGATGGCCCAAGAGCCCTCCAAGACGTCCTCGCGAAGGCCCGACAGGGTTCAAGTTATTGATTTACCGTAGGTGTTTGAAGAATTTCGGCTATTGCTCCTTTTCAGCTCTCCGACGGCCCAAGACGGCCCAAGCGACCCCCAACATCGACCCAAGAGCGCCCAAGAGGCCTCCAAGATGGCCCCATGACAGCCCAAGAGGCCCCCCAAGACGGCCCCAAGAAGGCCCCAAGACGGCCCAAGAGGCCCCCGAGAAGCCCAAGATGGCCTCCAAAACTGCCAAAACGCCCAAGATAGCCTCAAGATGGCCTACGACTGCCCCAAAAGCCAGCAAGAGGCCTCCAAGATGGCCCAAGAGCCCTCCAAGACGTCCTCGCGAAGGCCCGACAAGGTTCAAGATATTGATTTACCGTAGGTGTTTGAAGGATTTCGGCTGCTGCTGCTTTTCAGCTCTCCGACGGCCCAAGACGGCCCAAGCGACCCCCAACATCGACCCAAGAGCGCCCAAGAGGCCTCCAAGATGGCCCCATGACAGCCCAAGAGGCCCCCAAGGGGCCCCAAGAAGGCCCCAAGACGGCCCAAGAGGCCCCCAAGACGCCCAAGATATCCCCCAAGACGCCCAAAATGACATCCGAGATGCCTCCGAGACGGCCAAGAAGGCCTCCAAGACAGCGAAGATGGCCCCAAGATGCACCCAAGACGGCCCAAGATGGCCTGAAGCTGGCCTTCGACTGCCCAAAAGGCTCGCCAGAGGCCTCCAAGACGGCCCAAGACCCATCCAAGACGGCGGAGTGGCGCAAGCCACTTGAATAAAACATGCAAAGGCGGGCCTGTGCAGAGACGCTGAGCGCACATGCCGTTGTAAGAAGAGGCGTAGTTAGACCCTAAGGCATCGGGCAGCGGTGCCTGAAACTGAGACTGGGAACACCCAAATCTATACATATAACTACAAAACACCACTTCCCCTTTGTTAGCAAGAGGCCCCGAAGACGGTCCAAGAGGCCCCCAAGACGGCCCAATAAGCTTCTAAGAGGCCCCTTGGGGGGGGGGGC